AGATGGTTTGGCAACAAAACACAATTATAAAGCTAATATGCCAATGTCCATATCTTTACTGTTGGTAAATATAAATGAAAGGGATGTGGTATGCTTGACATTTCTGTTCCAAAGGAAGTTGAAAATTATTAATAGTGTAGTAACAATTTGGTTTTATTTAGTATTTACTATATATCATGTAATATTTTAAACATTTTAACATATTACTTGATTTAATTATTATGCCAGTCTAGAGAAATAATTGTGTTACTATCCTCATTAATTTGTAGGCAATAAAAATGAAGTGTACAGAAACTATGTCACTTGCCCTGTGTTATATGGCTGATAAATAATAATGGAGACTTCCAACTCAAGATCTGTGCAAAACATTTAAAAATAAATAAAATATGACCCTGTTGGTAAAGGACTTATATTTTAATTAGTAATTTTAGTGGCTATTGTTAGATAGAATTTGAATCCAAATCCAAGGCAATGGCTGGGTCTTTAATGTGCCTTTTCTAGAAGGCAGCTCTTAATTCATATATCCAGTTAGTGATGAATACTTCCTGTCTCTTCTCTTGAAACTCCTGAGTTCTGTGCATAAGTGGCTTTCATCCCTGTGAACCCAGTCACGTCTGTGAACCTAGTGTAATCTTTATTGTCATGCTATAGAGCGCTTTCTTTAGGAGCGTTCCTGTCTAGTTTTTCTTTTACTCATGTGGCAAAAATAATTAAGGGTAGTATATTTTTTAATGAGAACAGTTTTTAGAATATCTTTGTCCTTTGACAGTTTCATACATGTATGCAAATCTTGGTCATATCTACTCCAGTTTTCCCCTCCTATCTTCTCTGCCTGGATCCCTTAACATTTGCCCCTCCCAACTCCATTTCTTTTCCTTTTATTTTTCCTCTTCCTCCTTTCTTTTTTTTAAAAATAACTTCATGCTGTTGGCATGAACATGGGTATGAAGCCATCCACTACAACACTGGCACTTAACATCAGCCAGACCCCTGAAGAAAAATGACTTTTCCTTAGCTCCTTAGCTGGGATGAAGCTCATGAGCCCCTCCCCAGTGTGTACTGGAATGTTGACTTGTTTGATTTTGTGTAGGTAACCATAGCTCCTGCGCATTCACGAGTGCTGTGGTCATGCCGTATTCACAAGACAGCATTTCACAGCATTCTTCTCCATCTTCCAGCTCTTGAGTTGTTTCTGCCCTTCTAGTCTGCAATACTCTTGAGCCTTTGCAGGGTTGATGTGTATGCCCTGTGTAGGACTGAGCACTCAACAATCACTCCCAGCACTGACCAGTTGCGAGTCTCGTACTGACTACTACTTAATACAGTAAGAAGCTTCTCTGACCAAGACTGAGAGCAACATTAATTTACTGAACAGATATTTAGAAGGTAATTTGACTTCATGTCCATTTAGCAAAACAGTAGTAATAGGCTCCATCCTCTGACCTCTATAGATATGGGCTTTTGAACAGATTATTATACCAGGCATGAATTCTCTCCTGTGGAACAGACCTTGATTCCAATTAGAAGGCTGTTAGCCACCTCATAACTGTCAGACACTGCACCAGTGGGCACATGGTTCCTGACAGGTCAGTATTTTAGCATGCAGGGCCTGCTGCAGAATAAGTCCACTGATTAATGTTATACCCTAGTAAGCCTATCTAGACAGCAAGGAAGAAGTTTTTAGGTCAGTTCCAGCTTGATTTTTTTTTTTTTTTGTCCTGCAACCAAAGTGTGTTGTGTCTTCAGCAATAGGATCTTGGCATCAAGTTATAGTGTGAAAACAAGAATAATGGTAATTAATAGCCTGTATTGTTTTGGGAAACCTCTGGGGCCTCCCTGACTCACAAGGAAGTATCCCATACCTGTCACTGAGATTTTCATTTAATAACTCATTTCTTCTTAAGGAAGCATTGCCTACTGTCTTAGTTAGGGTTTCTGTTGCTGTGACAAGACATCATGACCACCACAACTATTATAAAGGAAAAACATCTAATTGTGGTGCTTATATCTTGAGAGGTTTAGTCCATTATCATTGTGGTGCAACATGGTGGCATTGGGCAGACATGGAGATGGTCCTGTGTCTTGACTTGCAGGCAACAGAAAGTGGTCTGTCTCACTGGCATGGCTCTGAGCATATGTGAGATCTTTTTACAGTGACACATTTCCTTCAACAAGGCCATACATACTCCAACAAGGCCACACCTCCTGATAGTGTGACTGCCTTTGGGGGCCATTTTCTTTCAAATCACTGCATCTACCCACACAAGATACCTCCATTTAAATTCATACTTCAACTCACAGAGTAATAGGTTTCTATAAGGATTTTTAATGGAGCCTTTGTTTTGGTTAGTGATCTTTACACATTTTTTTCTGTTCTCCCAGCGCCCCTCATACCCATAGTATACCTGTATGAGTGTATGTACACCATATGCATACCTGTACCTTGTACCTGAAGAGGGGAGAAGGCAGCCTTGGATCCGTTGGAGCTGGAGTTAAGGATTTTTATGAGAACATGTAGGTGCTGGGAATCGAACCCAGATCCTCTGCAAGAATAAGTGCTGCTGTCTACTGAGCCATGTCTCTAGCCCTAAATCATAATTGTTAAAGAATGCTTTTTTCCATGTCACAGCTATAGAATTATAGAATCTCAGAGATGAAAGCTTAAAAAACAAACAAAAATTTCCAAATTGGTAGTTAAAATCCATTCTCCTTATTCACAGCAATAGTAATAGTAATACATCCCTATGCACGTCATAGGAATAAGAAAATAGTCTCTTTCTTCGTGAAGTACACACTTGCCAGCCATGAAAAACCTACACAGTGTACTGTGTCCTACCTGAGGGGTGTGTGTGGGGGGGTGGGTAGGAAGCTGTCCCAGAAGGAAGGATCAGCTAACTAAAATGACAAGGAGTTGTTGAGATATGAGTGGAGGGAGGCCAGGATGAGTAGATTAGCAAGAACCATTGGAAAAATGAGGGACATTTTGTAATGTGCTTTGGGAATTGTGGGTAATTATCTGTTAAGAAGTGTCTGTGAGGGAGACAGGTTTGGAGAAAAGGGTTGAAGAAGAAACTGGATTCAAATGGCGTCATAAGTCATTTTGAAGAGTCTCCTTTTACTTTGAGCCATTACCCTTTACTCTTTTCACCCATGAAGCCTTGGCCTTTTAGTTCAAGCTCTAACTTCCTACTTTCCTGAGACTTTGCTACCCTAGGAAAATCCCCAATTTGCTTATTCCCTCAGAAATGCTGCTATTTTCATATCTACTACTTAGTTACTAGGTTATTCCGTATTTTTGTCTTAATTCTTGTTAGTTTTCTACTAGTAGATGTTTTTGCCAGAATGTAATCATAGGTGGGTAAATCTATACTAATTTGCTGATGTATAAATCCTAAGATTCATAATTTAAAATTCAAAATTGCTGAAAAAATATACACAATTATGGTACCAAGTAAGATATTATTTGTGGTTTAACAATTCTTGAAGATTAGCTGGGCGGTGATGGCACACACCTTTAGTCCCAGCACTCGGGAGGCAGAGGCAGGCGGATCTCTGTGAGTTGCAGACCAGTCTGGTCTACAAGAGCTAGATCCAGGATAGGCTCCAAAGCCACAGAGAAACCCTGTCTCAACCCCCCCCCCCCAAAAAAAACAATTCTTGAAGATTTTTGCCTTAGTTTAGGAGAATCCTGAAATTTGAACTAGTGATTTCAGAGAAAAACAATCTTGTGAAAATTCCCTACAATAAATACTAAGAGTTCTGGTAATATTTGTTGAAAAACAGAAGCTTAAGTAGATACCATATTTCTGTCTTCACGAGGGTGGAAATCCAACACACTGATTTTTACATATGTAATACACTGAATTTAGCTTCATTTCTAGTATATGACTATGGCCATCATATTGGAGAAGTCATTTCTAAGTGTACTATGTTATATTGAGATTTCATGTACTTGTCATACTTTAATAACCATCTGTAATTATGTACAATGTAGATGCAATAATGTTTAAGCTACCGATTCTGGTTAACACATTATATTTTACATTCCCATGAAATATATCATCCGTAGTTTTTCTCTTATTCTGCATGGATATTATGGGATGAAACTGAAGAGAGATTCAGCTTTTTTATTTTTAGTTTTGAGATGGGTTTTACTTTGTAGCTCAAGCAGGCCTTGTTTTCCCACTCCTTTTGCCTCAGAGCTGTGATTACAAGCATAGATGTCCACATCAGGCTTAAAGTTTTAAAGATAAACTTTTTGCTTTTCTGAGACAGCTTCTCATGTAGTTCAGGCTTACTTCAAACTTGCAGTGTAGCTAAGGAGTATAACTTTTGGACTTCTTATCCCCTGGCCTAATACCACCTGAGTGATGATAGATTATAGGACTGTACCAACACACCCAGTTTATGTGGTGGCGAGAATCAAGCCAGCGTCTTGTCCATGGCTCAAAGAGTAGGCTTTGATTTTTCTAATCTGTAATTTGTGATTAGGAAATACTTGGTGTATATCAGACTCTGGTAAATCCTTGCTTAAACCATTATTAGTAAAGATGCTTTATTGGCAGTATAAGGAAAGAACAAAGAAATGACTTTATTAGCTTAAATGATAGTCTAAAAGTGTGTCTACATTGGGAACTATTGTTGCTTCATTACTTAGCTATGGATTTAGGATGGTTTGCATCAGAAGCCGAAGACCAGTACAGAAAGAGGGATGTGAGTATAGTTATAAGTTAGAGCCTTGTCAAGAATATTTTTCTTTTAGTTTTATTCAGCCAGTGTATGAAATACCCGAAGTCAGTGGGGTGGGATTAGGCAATCAAAGAAGATAACAGTTTTGCTAACAGCTAAAGGGATTGTACTTTTCACTGGGGACATTCAGTGACTGAGGTGAGTACAGAGGCCTTGTGGAACTGATTTGTAAAGATTTCTACAGTAGTGTTATACCTTTCTTTCTTTCCTCTTAAATTGTGTATCTTTTCCTTCCTTCTCCACCCTTCCAGAGGCTCTCCTTATAGAGAATCCCCCTTGGGTCATTTTGAAAGCTATGGAGGGACCCCCTTTTTCCAGGCTCAGAAGATGTTTGTAGATGTGCCAGACAACACCGTGATACTGGATGAGATGACCCTCCGGCACATGGTCCAGGACTGCACAGCTGTAAAAACGCAGTTACTCAAACTCAAACGTCTGTTGCATCAGGTGAGTATGTAATGATTATCCCAGCTCTACCTTTGTAACTTGAAAACAAATTGGCTTTTTAAGAAAAGTTACATGTATTTCTAGCATGTATAGTTTTGGGTAGAAGCAAAGCATGTACATCTTACATGCTTTGGTTTCATCTCCAACACCATAAAACAAAAGGAGAAAGAACAGAGAACTCTTATTAGAGATGAAAGGAAAGATTAAGATGGACAATGCTTCTTTTATAAGGTGCTGAAAGATTAGAAGTTGTAGTGGTTAATTACACAGTCTGTAACTAATGTAGTTTCTGCTTAGTGGCAAACAGGATTAATTTGTGTGTTTGGGACTTTCAGGACCTGTTTTATTTGGAGAATCTAGACTCATGGTAGCAACAGGGCTTGAGCAAAGTCACAGGATACGCTAATGGAAGGTCTCAGTGTGCTTCAAGAGTACCTTCTTTGTGTAAATATTTAGGGTTAGTGATAAACAAGAAATGAAATACCAGTTTTAAAATGTAGATAGCTTTTATGTGATTTTAAGTCTATCTTTTTGCATTTGATAATTTAGCTAAATTTAAAACCATGGTAGAGAAAGAACAGCCTGACTTCTCTCAATATGCTGTCTGGGTCACCTTTTTCAGGATTATATGCCTTTGCATCTTATGAACAGGGTCCAAGTCTTAGACTCCTCTGTCTGCTCAGTAAAGGCTAGATGAAAGTAAAGCAAGGCTCCCAACAGTTGACTCTGAGAGGAGCAATTCTTACTAGTGTATGTTGTTTCATATTTCTTGGTTCTGACTTTCCTGAACTTCTATAGCTATTGAATACTTATTGGAAAGAAGCTTTTGTATACTGGGCCTGGGAAAAAGAGGGCAGAGAGTATCCTTTTGGAATCTGTGATGCTTGGACTCCTCCTAAGCATACAAGGATGCTATGGTGGAAATGTGCAGACATAGAGATTTCACCTTAGATAAACTACCTAACAGGCGTTGCTCCATAGTGTTTCTCTGCTGGCTGGTCTGGGAGGAAGATGTCCTGATCATGAACTTTTGTTTCAAAGGTACATTGTGGTAGAAAAGGGTAGGAAACAGCTGAAATATATTAAGTGCCTTTTGTGAGCTAGTCATTGTTTAGGGTATAGTTCCTCAATGAGAAAACATTATTAAATATCAGCTGACAAGGTCAGGCCATGTCCAATAATGAAGTAAAGGTGATGACTGAGAAAGAGGGTGAGTTAACAGCTGGTGACCACTATCTTAGGAATTGTCTTCTTTGAAGACCTTATGTATGTGAAGCTGTGAAACTCTGAATGTTCTTTTCTGTCCATATAGTCTCCAGATGTTAGGGAGTTCACATTGACCTGATGGATTTGTTGTTTATGGAGTGAAAACAAAATTGTGAGTTTAAAATTGTAGAATATTTTTAGGATATCTTTAGAGTTTTCTAGTTGCAAAATAAATTAAAATCTGACATCTAAGATTTCATATAACCATCACTTACATCTTTCCTTTAATTAAAAGTATTATTATTATTGTGTTTGTATAAGTAATATGTTATGTGTCTGTGTGACTTCGGGGTGTGGGTGTATGACCAAGTCTGTGTGGTAGTCAGAGGGTCGCTTTCAGGAGTTGGCTCTGTCCTTATCATCATGGTTCCAGGGGTCAAATTCAGATCATCTTTACCTCCTGAGACATCTTGCTGCCTCTTTTAATTTTACTTAAAATTTTTTCATAAAGTATACACATAATTTTTAAAATCTTTCATACTATGTGACAACTTAATGAAAAATATGAAAGATTTTTATTTGCTTTTTATACCTCAGTCACACTGTTGTATAAACAGTTTACTGACTGTAGTTTCTGTAGCTTTGTTATGCATGACTTCATTTTGCCATAGTCTGGAGCTGTATCCACTATTTCCTGAATAGTACATATTCTTTTGCATGGTACCTACACTCAATTTGCTGGAGTATATCCTTAATTTATTTCCTAATAGAGAAAAATCTCTTTAGTCTGTACTCACATTTGATTGATACTATAGTTTATAATTTTGAAAAAGTTTGGTTGAAATCAAAGAAAAAAATAGAAGATACTGCTTGCCTAAGATCCTGTTTTAGCTATTTTGAAGAATATTGCATTCTGACCCCATTTTTCATTGTGCTTTGCCTTTAAAAGAAATCTGGCTGGGTGTTGGTAGTGCACACCTTTAATCCCAGCACTTGGGAGGCAGAGGCAAGTGGATCTCTGAGTCTGAAGCCACCCTGGTGTACAGAGTGAGTTCCTGAACAGCCAGAGCTACACAGAGAAACCCTGTCTCAAAAAACAAAACTGATCAAGAGATTGAGGATCTTTTAGTTTTTTTTTAATTTTTAAAATTTAATTTAAATTAGAAACAAGTTTGCTTCACATGTCAAACTCAGCTCCCTCTCCCTCCCTTCCTCTCCTACCTCCCTTCAACTCTCCCTCAACCCCTCCTCCAATCCCCACTCCACTCTCCAAGGAGGGTGAGGCCCTTCATGGGGGGTCTCCAAAGTCTGTCATATGATCTGGGGCAGGGCCTAGGCCCTCCCCCATGTGTCCAGGTGGAGACAGAATCCCTCCATGTGGAATAGGCTCCCAAAGTCCATCCGGATGACAGGGCTAAATGCTGATGTATTGCCTGAGGCCCCAAAGGATGCTGAGGCAAGAGATTGAGGATCTTTTAGTTTTTACCTGCTTGAGGTTTCCAGGTGATTTTCAGGGTGAATTTATCATTGATTTCCATTTGCTGCCTCATCAGTTACAGGGTTTTAAAATGAATTATTTTGGAATGCATACAGTGTGACATGTTTTAAAATTATGACTACAGCTGTTTTCTGGAATTGTTAGTAATCAGAAACTAGGACTTCTAAGTTAATTCCCATAATCTTTTTATTTGGTTTACATTACTATTTTGGTGGAGTTAGTTCTGTTTTTATTCAGATATCGACAATCGTTCAGTTTTCCAAACTGTACTGTATATAATTCCTTGTTCATACAAAACAGTTACTGCTTTTTCAAGAATCATATTAAGAACTTTCTGGCCTACTTTAATAATAGTTCTGAGAGTTTTTTTATATGTTTTAAAGGATGATATTTTGGCTTGTCTTTCCTAAACATTTTTAAAACACATATTGATTACTTATTGTTTATTAGTATTTGAAAGTGAGGAATTAAAAGTTGACTTTGGACTCTGTACAAGGACCAGGTTTGCTAATTAGCTAGTCTTCACTCTAAGGTGGTGGGTGGATGGATGTCATGATGTCATGTGGCCCTCAGTAGCAGATACAGGTTTTTTCTAAGTTGCCTATAGCATCTCCATAGAAGAAACCTGAGTTTTGCTTAGGAAAGAAAGAAGTTTCTATTCATTACTTTTGTTGCTTTGATCAAGATACCCAACAGAAACAGCTTGGCTTGGAGATTACAGATCATCATGGTCGGGAAAGCATGGTGGAGCAGTTTAGTTGCTGGAGCAGATTGGGTACCAGAGGCTTCTCCTGATGGCAGGTTAATGCCAGAACCAGGACAGCCTAACTTTTGCAGCCAACCTCTTTCACTGGCTTCCACCACTTAGTACCCCCTTCTAAAAATTCCAGCCTCTGTTAAAATAGCCCTACAAGTGGAGAATAAGATCTGATTGCAAATATGAACCCATGTGAGATAGTTTGGATTTGATCTTTAACATCTGGACATTTTAATTGTATTTATTACATAGAAGTTCATTAAATTCTCACACTAATATATCCTTTTTTGTGGGGGAAGCAGACAGGTTCTTTCTATGTAGCTTGGAATGTCCTGAAAACTCACCATACAAGTCAGGTTGACCTTGAACTCACAGAGATCTATGTTTTAATTGTTGCTGCCGTTTAGTCCAAGCTGTCCAAATCAACAACTGCTATCAGCGGCAAGCCTTTAGGCCTCAAGAGCTACCTGAGGGAATTCTATTCCCTCAGACACCAACTCTTTCAAATCTAGGAAGGGAATTTATCTAAATCTCTGTCCAACTAAAGAACTCAAAGGTTGAGGTGGAATTGTGCTCCACAGAGAAGAGCCTTCCGCTCCTTACAATCTCTCCAGAAGCCCTCTTTCTTCACCTCACCCCTCCTTACAAACCCTTATCCTGCTGGCTCCTCCCTACAACTTCCTGTCAGCTAGTTTCGAGCTCCACCTTCTGACAGCGGGCAGGTGAATTTTATGTAATTAAACACATCCTTGTAACAGAGCATAAACAAAAGTAACACACCTTAAAACATTCTACAACAGATCTGCCTGCCTCTGCTCCCCAAGTGTGAAACACATAACAAGACAGTAAGAAAGGAAAGAACCAGAAAACTTAGAGGGTTGGACAGTCTTAAGAAAAATAGCGAACTCTATTTTATTAGTGCTCTAAGCAGGTTTAGAAAATAATTAGTGAGAAAAAAACCAGGGCTTTTTTTAATCCATTGTCTTTGACTCCAAGGCCGATGCATGTGTTCTAGGAAAGCCCTTAAAGGACAGTGTCTATGGGGTATGTGAAGGGAGCTCTGTTACCATCCAGGCACACGTTGGCCCCGCCCCTTGGGGACCTGGCACACTGCATCGCCCCTTTGCACATGGAGCAGTGCCCCGGCTCTACACGGTGCACTTCCACCCATTCCCACTCTCTCTGACATTTTTCTGAGGAGGCAGGTCTCTCTGTCTGTCTGTCTGTCTGTCTGTCTGTCTGTCTGTCTGTCTGTCTCTCTCTCTCTCTCTCTCTCTCTCTCTCTCTCTCTCTCTCTCTCCCTTCCTCCCTCCCTCCCTCCCTCCCTCCTTCCCTGCCCTCTCTCCCTTCCTTTCTTGCTGATGCATGGATAAAGATTCACGGGACTAGGTTTAAATACAGGTTAACTATAATTTATTTCGGGGAGAAGTCACTTACACAAGAAGCAGATGCTTGCTGGCAGATTCCCCCTCTAAGGATCAGCACAGGCTGCTCCTTGTGACATGAAAGAGAGAGCCACCTGGCTGAACCCCAGACCTA